CCCTTTCCCGGATTTGTATACTCATGTATACAAATCTAATTTTATCTCTCCATTACCTAATTCTCTCCTAACATCACTCATACACATAAAAAAAATTCATTCTTAATTTGAAATCTCAAAATTCAAATTGTTTTTGTTATAAATTTCAATATATGTACCACACACCAAGTAATAAATAAATAAACAAACAAAAAATTAACAAGGTGTACATCTTTGGGTTTTGACTCTTTTTTATTACGTACTAACTAAAATATTCAATTAATTTTTGCTTAAGAGTAGACCAGTTTGTTCTTTTTCTTATTTTTTTCAAAAGGTCCCTACTTTGTCATTTACATTTCTACATAAAAAAGTTAGAAAACGTCAATATTAATATTATAATAATTATACTCCATTCGATTTAATTTGTCTGTTCAAGTTGATTTAATATGCATTTTAAAAATATATATTTTTTATAATTTTAAACTAAAAATATGTAAAATATATTAAAACAATTTAATTTTATGAAACTTAAATATATAACATAAAAAATTACAATTTAAAAAAGAAAATTTCTTTAATAATAATTTTTTTTTAAAAGAAGAAAAAGGACAGATTGAAACGGAGGAAGTATTTTAATGGAATACTTTGAAATAAAAATTAGAAAAAGGGATCTAGCTAAATCATGACAAAGTGGAGGAATAAATGTTCAACTTTGTATTATTAATTAATGTATATAAAAAAATGTTCAAATCCTGTTGTTATCATTAATCTTTTTGAAGAAACACTGAAAATGGGAGTCACTGTCCATTTATACATTTTTCATCCCTTTTTTTCTTTTGGTATAAATTTTGACTTTCATTTTCTTTGTGGCAATGGGGTTGGGGTTGGGGTAGGGGTAAGGGGGGAGGGTGGGGTCTTCTAGAAAGTGAAAAAATGTATTGCAATAGCCAATAGGGATGTGTGAAATTAAATTGATCGATAAATTCGATCGAAGAAAATGTAATTGGTTTACTCAATACTCCTATTGAGTTATTGGGATAACGTATCTATAATAATTTTATCAGAAAAAATTATATGGTTATCACTTTGGTTTCGATTAATTTATTACTTATCCCTACATAAATATTAGATTTTAAGAACAATCCTATTCTTCTTAGTTCTTACAATCTCTTGGTGTTACACTCATATAGTTCTTTCATGTAATTAGTTGTCACTGTTTCAATTTTATGAGCATTTGTTAAGTTATATTTTTGTTTTGTCGCGTCAAATTGTTAGAGAAGTCATATATTTATTTTATAAGTATTTTCTTATTGGATATCTTATTGATTTAGTATATTTAAAAACTGAAATTCAATAAACGAATCAATAATATATAGAATCGAACCAAACCGATCGATGCATACCTCAGAGGAAAAGATAAAACTTTTAATAATGGTGTCAATCGATCGAAAAACAACAGGAAATAAAATGAAGGAAAACATTAACATATAAATAAAGTTCTTTTTATCAACTTATATATAGAAATATTTTCTTTTAGCTATTAAAAAGTTTAGAAAAAAGTCTCTTCTCGCACCATCGTTATCGCTCTACTCGACTTCAAATTTGGTCAAGATATATATTTAAGATCAATTTTCATTATTTTTTAATTCAAAATTTACATAATTGTTTAAGAAGGTAAAAATAATTAATTAAAAGATAATCAATTTTATTTTTTTTCAAATTTATATCTTTTAACTAACTAGTATCAATTAGATAGGATCAAATATCTTGCAAAATATTTACCGCAACAATATTTATCTTCTAAAGATTTCATTCAAAACAAATTTTATAATATTTTAAAAACTTATTTATATAATTAAATGAATTATATATAAGAGTCCATGAGCTATAAATTTGTCAAACAGTTTCTTGTTACGTAGAAGTCTGTCAATGGAGTCATATGAGAAAAACATGGCATTAATCAACTCCAATTCTCAAAACCCTAACCCTATAATGCAAGATCAAAATCAAATAATTTTCAATGATAATTTTGTTTTTCCAGTGGGTTATCGTTTTTGTCCACATGATGACGAACTTATCGTTCATTACCTCCTGAAAAGAATCAGGAATGAAGTTTTACCCCATGATAAGATCAAGGACGTTAATCTTTATAAGTATAGTCCTTATGATCTTGCAGGTAATTTTTTATCTCTTCTCATCGCGTTAAGTTAAAGAAATCTTTTCTTGTAGTTTCACTTGTTCTAAAGTCAGTATTTAGATCAAGTCATAGTCCTTTCTCATGTTAATTTTTTTTTTCTTTCTTGATCTCGAATGTAGTTTTATGTATATGTTAAAGAGATTTTTTCTTGTAGTTTTACTTGTTCTAAAGTCAGGATTTAGATCAAGGTTTTTTTTTTTTTTTTTTTAATATTTAGTTTTACTTGTTCTCTAAACTATATAGTATATAGTAATGAATTCAGTAATTAAAATGGTCGATTATGTTCTTTATATTTATGTATTGTTCTTTTGACATGCTAATGTACATTACTGATATAAGATTTGAATTACACAGTTTTTTTTTTTTTTAATATCTTTTCATTAATCGCAATAGTTAGGGTTTTTTTTATAAGTTAAATCATTAGGTTTTATTTATTTGTTAAATAGATCTTTTCTTACCGTTTCACTTGTTCTAAATTATTGTTGAGATAGATTTTTATTTTTTTGACACTCTAATCTACATTATTTATAAAAAGTTTGAGTCACACATATAATGAATTGGATACAAATTGTTATATGATCCCACCATAATATGTGGTTATGATTTTTTTAAATTGATCGTGAGTTCCCTTTAACTTGCTATTGTTCTTATAAAATATGGTTTTGAGTCTAGATCCACCATTAGGATTTTTAGTTCCCTTAACTTACATGGTTTGGTTTTGAGTTATCTAAGGTTTAATAGCAGATTTGGATTTTAATAGAAATGTTAATTAACCTTATTTGTCATCTTTGTTATTTATTTATTTATAATTTAAAGTTTTCTTTGTATGATTCCGTATCCCATTTTATTAATTATAATTTAAGATTTTTTGTATGATTTCTTTGGATTTATGCATTTTTGTTATACACATATATAATCTGTTTGAATTTTTCTGTTTCCATATGCCTATATATTATATATTTGTTATTTTATTTTTCTGTTTTTTTTTAACTTTTCCTATTTGTTACTATTAAAAGTTAGAACTTAAGTTTTCTTTGAATAAAGAACTGTATTTTTTGGACCCAAAACTAATAAAATAGATTATTTGTCAAAAAATTATAAAAAAATTTTTATGAAAAGTTGTCAAATTAATCGCCTCGGCCAGTGTAAAATTTTTTTAGCGGTAGACTATTGCATTAGTAAATTTAACTCTTCATCATTACTTATTTATTAAAATAAATAAATTATTTTTACTACATTTTTTATCTAACATGATCTTTTCTCTATTTGTAAATTAAAAATATTGTTTGTTTTGTCTTAAATATGTACTAGGGATTTATCCTGAGCTGGGAGAAAAAGAATGGTATTTCTTCACTCCAAGGGATAGAAAATATCCTAACGGTCATAGGCCAAATCGTGCTGCGGGAAGAGGCTATTGGAAGGCTACTGGAGCTGATAAACATATAAAACATAATAATGTTGAAGTTGGATTTCGAAAGGCTTTGGTTTTCTATGAAGGTAAACCTCCCAAAGGAATTAAAACGAATTGGATTATGCACGAATATAGGGTGGATGAGTCGCGCAGAATCAAAATGCATGCATCTGATATGAAGGTACTGTGTTTTCAATATAACTATTAATTGAGTTTACAAAGAGTTTTTCAAACTTTTCTCTTATTTTTTGTTTGGTCTTTTACTATCAATATGATTTAATCTTTATAGTATGTTATCTATTTATTTTTTTAGGTAATAATCATATCAGTATATATAGTTACATGTTATTGTATGTTACTTAAATTGATATATAAACTATTATATGGATATAATCATATAATTCATACTAATTATTTTTGTTATTGTAGCTCGACGATTGGGTTCTATGTATGATTTACAAGAGATCTACCAAGTCCAAAGGTAGTAAGAAGAAGGAGCACGAGCAAGAAGATGACAAGCTCGAGTTAGAAGATGCTAACAAAATCAATTATCTGCAGAATTATGGAGGGACTATGGATTCATGTGTAGAATTTGCTATACGACAGTTCGAGATGCTTTATCAGTACCTTCCATCATCATTTGGAAACATGTCTACAGGTTACAACAACACTTTCCCAAATGTCGATTTCAACAACTTGTACCAGGTTCCTTTCAACAATTTGTACCAGGATCCTCTCAACAATTTGTACCAAGATCCTTATTACAACATAGGTACGATTGAATCACAGAATAACATAGATTCGACTGAATCTCAAAATGGTCCTGATGATGATTCTCTTGATGAGAGCACAGATCAATAAGGATTGATCATTCCATATCGAGCAGGTTTATGTATATTATTGATGATAGCTGGTTATTTGATAGTAGATTGTTGGTTTAATGTATATTTAATTAAAACACTTATGAAGCTCAAGACTGAGTCTAGTTTATTGATTGATATATCACTACAACAAGCAGAAAATTTACTCTTCTGCTGACAAAATGTATTTGACCAAGAGAAGTATGGAGGTGGCTCCATAATTATTTTATAAGTTGTGTCATAATTTCCCCTACTATATAAATCTTTTTTTTTTGGTCTTATTTTTAAATAAGTCTTTCAAGATAACTTTGTTAATGCGAGAATTTATTTATCCAATTTCAACTTATTTGGAATTGATACATGAGTAATCATATATTCAACTTCAATTTGTTTGAAACTGAGACAATGTTGTTGTTTAACAACTAAGAGACAGACTTTCTTAGAATTTTCACTTCTATTGCATGAACGATCATGATATATGTAATTATTGAACATGTTTTTAAAAGTCAGTATTTTTGAGACGGATTAAAAAGAAACAGGTCAAACAAGTTGAAATGAAAAACAAGATCCAATAATACAACAAGAATTTACTCTACAATACACTTGAAGCTTGAAGGGAAGTTCTAGATGACATACTTAGTAAATTACCTAATTGCAATTATTAACATACTTAGTACAAATCAAGTGGGCTTGTGACATTTAACTAGCTCAACTAGAACCTTGAAATTTTCTATTGAACTCCCATTATCTAATTTCACAGCTTCTAATGCCTTTTCTTTTAGCCCTTCAACATTTTTCCTTAATACTTTCCCTTTTTCCTCATTGAAAAAAGTACCCAATGCACTAATTGTTCCACTTTTAGTAAAATTCCCACCTTCAATTTGCAAACCAATTTCCCAAACACTTTCCACCATTCTACTATTCAATTTTTGGTCACCAAAAAAAGGCCTACATATCATAGGCACACCATATGATATGCCTTCCAGAATCGAGTTCCATCCACAATGCGTTACAAAAACACCAACACTCCTATGTGCCAAGATTTCCAATTGGGGGGCCCAAGAAATTATTTTCCCATATTCCTTTGTTCTTTCAAGAAACCCCTTAGGCAAAATTTTGACTCCGTTATCTCTTAATGACCAAATAAATGGCATCTTTTTATCTTCCAACGCTTCTGCTATCGCGATAATTTCATTAGGTGGTAATGTTGTAACAGTACCAAAACTTAGATACGCAACCGATCTTTCCTTTTGATTGTCAAGCCATTGGATACATCCACTTTCATCAGAATTCGCGTCTAGAGATACATTATTTGATGATAATATTACTAAAGGGCCAATGTTAAGTACCTTTTGGAGCTTTGATTTGAGGTCTTTGTTGATAATTGGATCCAATTCTTCAAAGGAATTCAATACAACAGCATTAGCTTTGTGTAAATTTATTGCCATGTTGTATAGCATAGATGGCATTGGCCCTTTTAAACTCTCTGCTATAACTTCAGGTGGCATGTCACTCATTTTCAAAGTTGATGAAAATCCTGGGATTTTCAACAATGTTTCATCATTCGATCGAATTAAATCAGTGTACAAATGGATAGACAATGAACATGAGCCAGCAGTCCAAAATGCAATCCAAGGGATGTTCATTTTGTTAGCAAATTCAGAAGAAAACCATAAAAATGCATCACTAATAATGCAAGAAAACTTCACCCCTGTTTCCTCCTCTGCTTCTTTCATTGTTTTTTCGAAATTTGTAGGTGTTGAATGTATGAAGAGTTCAATTGCTTCGCGCCCAATAGGTGTGTCATTGCCTTGTTTGACACCATCCCAAATGTTGTAGATCTTGATGTTTTCTTGATTTGGAGTTTTTGAGAAAATTGATGTGTTGGAATTTGATGTGTTGAAGAAGGAAAAAATTGTGTTTGATGGTAAAAATGGAGTGATTTTTTGAACAAGTGTTAGTAAAGGAGCTGCATGACTTCCAAAAGGGAAAGCAAGAAGTGCAATATGAAGTTGAGAAGTTGTCATTCTTTTGTTGTTGTTGTTGTTGTTGTTTTGTTTGTTCTAAGTGAATTAGTGTCTAGGCTCTTTACAAGTTTGCTTATATATTTTTGTTGTAGGTTGATTGTGGGGGTGGGGGTGGGTGTGGGGTGTGGGGGTTGGGGGTAGATATGATTGACTAGTTGTTATACTTTGCTTGTTGGTGGTTAAAAGAGTTTATTATACTTTTTGGTGGGGGTTGAAGATACCATCTACCATTTATTTTGGGGGTTGATAGCATGAGGATTTTGTTTCTTTTTGAAAGGTGGATGAACTCTACGTATAATTTAATCTCAAAAGTTAGTTTATGTAATAGAATTTTCAAGTTGTATAAGATGATTACAATTTAATTTCTCAATTAATGTGAGACATCATAAACATTTCTTAACACATTGAGCGTTAAATATATAGAACATGAATAATATAATTTAGAGGTTTCATATTGAGTTAAGTAAATCAAAATAAGAATGAGTCCAACTCTGTTATCTAAGAAATAAAATAAACCTCGAGTTTAACTAACGAACATACACGTGTCATAATCTTATCCACCGAACCGATGGATAAAATTGCATCATGTGTCCCTATTTAATCTTCCGTTAGAGTGAAGGGTATATATACTTTAATTTTTTAACGACAGGGTACCAATGTCCTAAAAATATATTGCTCTAAGGAACTAACTAGTGTGGCAGATGTGACATGCATAAATGAGCTTAGGTAAGATCAACGGTAGATATTGGCTCAGTGTAAGCTATTAGGTAGAATGAACGGTAGATATCGCAGACACGATGCTCTACATGTTGCCTCTTATTTTGTAAGTAGAAACTTGGCTGTCACTAATCTAAAAAGAGAGATTTTTTTCAAGGTTATTTGTCAACTAATCCCATTACCATCGCAAATTAAATATATATATAAAAATATACCAATTATGTATTATATATAGGAGTATAAAATATACATTTCCAAATTATTTGATGGATGGTTGTATGAATTATAGAAACCACAATAATTTGAGCGTTATTAACTTGTGGATATATTGCTTCTTCACCCGATACATAGCAAATGATACATAGTTATAAATTAAGTTTGAAATAATTGAAGTTTATGTATCAGTAATAATATTTGTACCAGATACATTACACACAAACAAAGTTGTAATGTATGTAGGGGTGTGCATTCGGTTTTTCGATTTGGATTTTTCGGTTTTTGGTTTTGTAAAAGTGTAACCCAATCCGATACAAAATAAATTTGGTTTGGTTTGGTTTTCCGCTATTCAGTTCGGCTTTTTTTGGTTTGGTTATTCGGTTATTTCAATAATTAATAACATAACCAAAGTAATAATATTTAATCCCTCAAATATACTTTTTAATATAAATCATAAGTAAAACTTAAAATACAATGCTTATAAGTATACCTATTATAGATGTAATTCAAACATAAAATATAGTAAACGTAATCATCATGAAAGGCAATAACCAAAAAGGGACAAAAGTGGTTAACTCCAACTTAATTCTAAACCTAAACATTATATATATATATATATATATATATAATTCGGTTTTTTTTCAATTTTTATATTTTTATATTTTAAAACCCGAAACCAAACCAAAAAACCAAACAAAGTAATTTATTAATCCAAATAAAAATTCGGTTTTATTTGGTTTGGTTATTCGGTTTAATCCGAATAGTGCACACCCCTAAATGTATGTGATAGAGATGGAGTGATATATCCAGAGTAGAGCTGTCAATATGGGTTGGCCCACCCCATTCGGGCTAACCCATACAAGCTTTGAAGTTTGACGGGTCAGGCCGGGATAGCCCATTTTTGGTGTGGGCCAGAAAATAGTCGGTCCAGCCCACAAGTACGTGGGCTACAGGATTGCCGGGCCAGCCCTCTTTTCGTAAAAATATATTTTTTATAATTTTTTAAATTAAATTATAATTTAAAAATATTATCATAAATATCGACAAAATAATATTACATGGTGTTAATGTTACTACTTGCTAATCAAATCCACAAATAAAATTATCTTTATAATAGTTATTAAGTTTGATTTCAAGTAAAAGCATAAATAGCTAAATAAAAAATATAAAGATAATTGTTTTCCAATGATCATAATAAAACACAAAACTATGACAATATTCCATAGGCAACATCCTATGTAGTGATTCCTAGAAATTTTAGGGAATTTTTATTTTACATAATACATATTTTATAAACATAATTTGTATTTAAATCGTAATATTTCAAACTTTAAATTGATTTTGAGTTAAGACTCTTGTTATTTTTAATACTCTATTTTATTTTTTATTTTTTAATTAATTTTTATTTGGGCCACAGGTCGGCCCTATCCATATTTCTCAATCCCCACAAATCGGCAGGCTTATTCAAGCCGGGTTAAAAAACCCTTTTCTTAAATGGGCTCCAAAAATCATAGCCCAGCCCTATCAAATCCCGGGTTAGACCAGGTCGGCCCAATAGGCCTAGCCCATATTGACGGCTCCAATCCGGATGTTAAGAGAGAGAACGCAATTTTTTCTAAAAATATCTACCATTGAAATTAATTACAAAAATCCCATTTTTCCAACAATAAATATGGCAAGTGGGTTAGTTAGGCCCATGAGTTCTCATAGACGAGCCCGTTAATGACGGCCCATAGCTAGCCCAAAACTAGACTACAGTGGACTGGGCCTTGTTCATTTCATACTGAGCGGCCTGGACTAATGGTTGGCCTATTAACTGGATTGAGACTCCGCGGTCATTTTTTCAACTTATCTTTGAAAGATAGTCAAATAATATTTCGGAGTTTCACTTATCACTCGTGGAGTTTTTCAAGCTCTTAATGTCTATTTTTCAATTACAAAAGGCTAAAACAATAGTTATTTGTGAATTTTACTCGCTAAAGCTACAAAGAAATTGTTTTTTTAAGTCTCCAAACATTTTTATTGTTTTGTTAATATTCGAAAGTTTCTCGAGATTTTATTTGAAAATAAGTTTTTGCCAAAAAAAAAAAGAGTAGACATGGTTATACAATACAATATTTTATCATTTATAGTTAATTAAACTTCATAAACAATCACTAATTTTTATTTTTAAAAATACCTTTTGGAGCATCAGAGCAATGTCGATTTATTATAAATAATGTTCAACTGTAAATGAAAAAGAAAATATAACAAGAGCAATTTTGAGCTTTTTTTCTTAAAATGAAAAAATAAAATATTTTTTCTTGATGAGAACAAATGGCATATTTCACGTGTGTTCATGTGATAGGTGTGGGAAATTATGAGTGGATAAATTTAAAATAATTTTTCCTAGCCTTTAGATAAAAGCCTATGTGCCTTTATGTGCTTGCTAATATAAGTTATAATCTATGTTCCTTAGCTTATTCCTTAAGCTTAGGATTAGTATATATATATAACACTGTGGCAAAGAAGGTCATAAAAGTTACAAATATAACAAGAAAAGAGTAAAAATATTCAGAATTGATAGACTAGAAATTGATTCAAATTTATATATATATATATATATCAACTTGATTATAAGTTAGGTATTTTTTGCTTCCTTTTTTCACCTATCTTATCACTTCTCATATTAAATTTACTTCTATTGTTTCTTTGTGGTTGTCATGTATAATAAAAATACGTATTTTAAAATAATTGTCAATTTAAACCGTCAAGAGAGGATTACTTATTCTTTTCACCTTTACCTTTGACATTAATTATTCTAGAATTAAGATGCACAAATATAGATAAATATTAAAGAATTAATAACAGATATATTGGTCAAACAATACTCTTTATTACTACTAATTTTGTCTTAAGGATTATGTCAAATCATATCATGACAACTAAAAAGAAACGAATGGAATACTTTTTAATTGATAAATGAATAGTTGTTGATTTATAAATAGCATGTTGTTGAGATGCTTTTAAGGAGAAGATAACATTAATTTACACATTGAGAACTTTGAAAGATTTTTTTTAATTATATATATACCCATGATTAGATGATAAGGATCTAATCCATTATTGCCTTTGAGAATACAACATAATCATAACTGAATAAAATTAGGATACTTAATTATTATTTGATCATAAATATTGAATCAGATTTTGAAAATGATTAATTTTTAGAAGAAATTTCATTCACTCATAAGATTTCAATTTTCCCCCAAATAAATGTATGTCTAATATGGAAAAAATATAATATCCATATTAAACTTTAAACAATGAAAAAAACGTCAAAAATTAACTTAATATGGAATAGATTAAACATATCCATATAATACCAATATTACTACTGCTATATTTTTGTAATGCACATAGACAATACCCATCAGCAAGTTTAAATCGACGATACAAAGGAGAGAACAATTGAATTGAGGGGTTCATCTGAACTTGCTACAATAAAAAAGTATACACTATTTATATATATATATATATATATATATATATATATAAAATAAAATTTGAATCTCTCAATTTATTCATGTATTTATTATTTCATATTTTGAACCGCTCAGTGAAAATACTAATTGTGCCAACCACTGATTGGTGGGAGGGAGAATAGAGTTATAAAATATTCAGCTAATAGTGAGAGCTGTCTTATATTGTTTGGAATAATACTCATTTTTCAAAGTTCATTTTTCTTATACTAATTTCAATCTTTCTTTTGTAATCTGTGGAGTATTCAACAAGACAAAGATGTCGATTTCTGGTAGTTTGGCTGATGGATTGGAGGCGAAAAACCGCGAAAAAATCATCATAGATACTGATCCTGGCATTGGTAATATTTTCCTCTGTTTAAAGTTGTGTTCTTTACCATTTCTGAGCAACTTTTTGTTACCTTGCTAGTGTGATTCAATTTTCTCGTAATACATAGCTTTTGGAGGATCCGACATATATATCATGTCAATATTTTTAAAGAGTTCGTGCAACATAGATATATATATAGCTTGTTTATGATACAGAGATGATCAGTTCATATCTTCTGGATTTCTTTGAGTTTTGAGATTCAATCCTGAAACTTTTGTCTGCTCTGATATCATGCTACAGTATTAGAGAGATCACACTTTTATTAATTAATTATATTCTCAACAGTGTCTGCATTTCTCTAAAGAGATGATTGAAAATGTTAATACTGCAAGAACAATCGTTTATTTTCGTTATTTATGTTTTGATCTTTACTGATCCTTCTTAAATTCGAAGAGTTCCATATAGTCGATTTTAGTATCAAACATTTGGTAATTTCTATGTAAAGAGATGTGATCTGCCTTCGTAATAAAGAAAAGATATATTGCAGAGATGTAAGCAAATTAACAAAATTGGTTGAGACATCAGATTTTTGTTCTTTTATGATTTCTGTAATTGTGTGGCAACAGTTTTAGAAGTTCTTGTTAACTTTGATTATGTTCGATTCAAGGTTTTTCCCGAAAGAAGAAATATGAAACTTCTGTAATTTTCGCGGTAAATTTTGATCTAGTTGGGTTGTGTTGCTGTTTCTTTGGCCGATTACAGTCCTGTTCCACGTGTTCTCATCGATCTAATTGAGTTTTGTTGATATCTAGATGATAGCATGGCGATATTAATGGCATTCCAGACACCAGAAGTTGAGATATTAGGCTTAACAACCATATTTGGAAATGCTACTACAAAAGCTGCTACGCGAAATGCATTAATTTTGGTATGTAATGTTTCATTTATCCAGAATTTCAGCATTTCGATGTTTTCTAGAACAAAATCTTGATCAATCATTCAGTGTGAGACTGCAGGATATCCAGATATCCCAGTGGCAGAAGGTAGCCTTGAAACTTTGAAGGTAATTATTCGTAGCTCCTAAGTTTACTTATGTTATCCATCCTGGAGAAATATATTATCATAAGTACTCGCAATATATGCAATCATATTTTTCTCGGCTGTTCTATCATTTGACGTAGGAGATATTGTTATGTAGAGAGGGGAGCCACATATTGCAGACTTTGTTCATGGTTCAGATGGATTAGGCAACTTATTCTTACCTTCTCCAAATTCTAAGAAAATCGAGAAATCTGCATCTGAGTTTCTGGTGGATAAAGTATCCGAATATCCTGGTGAAGTATCTATACTTGCACTCGGACCATTGACAAATCTAGCTTTGGTAAGTTGTAATATCAAAAGTTTCTTATTTTTCAAGTTCTAATTACTTGAATTCGTAACATTTTTCATTGTTATGTTTCGAGTTTAGGCTGTTAAACGAGACTCAAACTTTGCAAGTAAGGTGAAGAGAGTGGTAATACTTGGCGGTTCCTTCTTTGCTTTGGGAAATGCTAATCCTGCTGCAGAAGCAAATGTGTGTGATCGTCTTTCCCTTGGGGTTCGATTTCATAGAAATCAGTATATTGATTCACTTAACATAGACAATGTGCATGTATATATGTTTAATGGTTGTTTGGCCCCTAATATCTCCGCGTAGGACTATTCCAAAATGATTATTTTTTCCTTGGAAACATCCTCTTTACCTTTGAAGTAGGGATAAGGTCTACGTATACTCTCTGTATGATTTGATTATATCATTTAGAAAGTTTTCGATGATGCAGATATATGGAGATCCAGAGGCTGCAGACATTGTATTCACCTCAGGAGCAAATATTGATGTTGTTGGCATCAACATTACCACACAAGTTAAAATGACAGGTGCTTATTAGACCGAATTTTTCAAAACTTTTCAATTTTCCCCCCTTTTACGTATGCATGTAGTAGTTCAGACTTGATATTTTTCTTTGTTACTTGTCTTAGATGCTGACCTTGATGAACTAAGACAATCTGAAGGAAAACATGCTAAACTTTTGTGCAATATGTGCAAATTTTATCGCGATTTTCATGTAAAGTCAGAAGGCGTATATGGTATTCTTCTGTTGTTCTTACATTGTTTTTATACGCGAAATCTGTTCTTGGCCTTCCTTACCTTGTTAACGCTTTAGCATTTCTAGGCTCATGACTTTTGTTTTCAGGAGTTTTTCCTCATGATCCTGTCACTTTTGTGGCACTAGTTCGTCCTGACCTCTTCACGTACAAAAAAGGCGTTGTGAGGGTTGAGACACAGGGCATTTGCGTTGGGCATACGCTCTTGGATCAAGGGCTAAAGAAGTAAGCATATCGTAAACTGATCATTTCGTGCAAATCTTAGAGTAGTCTGATTTCATTTCTTCGGATTGTAAGGATAAATCTTGTAATGTAGATGGAATACGAGCAATCCGTGGACAGAGTTTTCTCCAGTTTCAGTTGCATGGACAGTTGATGTGGATGAAGTTCTGAATTATATCAAGAAAATGTTGATGCAACCATGAATGTTTTCATTGTATCATAGAAAACTTATTCTTGAAATTGAGGAATACATTTTCTCATAATTTCTGATGACAGTCATTTAAACTGTGTGTGTACTGAAGTTTGAGGATCAGATGTCCTCATGTAAACATGCACTTAACGAAAACAGCTTCTAGCAGCAATAAATATGCACATTAATAAAGAGCGCTAAAGCCTTTATCGGCATTAGTTAATTATCATTGGATCTAATGTCGCTATAAATTTTAGGTACATTTACAAATAGTGCCATTGTCTCTAATAAAAATATATTTAGCGACAATTAAGCTATTGCCGCTAAAGATCATTTTTTGATGTAGTGATGTTTATGTTGATGATGAAAGCAAAAGACTCTGCCTTTATGATCTTCCATTGGTCATTCACTATAAGGGCTTAACGGCGACTTTTGTGCATCTGTTGTGCCCTTGATTTTTGGACACTTCCATCATACTATGAGCGGACAGTTCCAAAAAAATATAAGATATGGGTAAGAGTTCTAGAAAGGGGTGACTATCATACGGAAATGAATCTAGTAAAATATATAAGATGTTGAACTCTTGCTTTCGTCTCGTCTTTCCTCTTCCGCCATCCTTCCATTGCCTAATATAGACTTTGTGATGGGAAATAAGTCCATTCTTGGGAGTTGGGATAGGTAAAAGAAATTAAAAGGAATAATGGGGTTTAACTCATAAAAGATAGTGAGAAGAGATATATTTTACATTTCAAAGGGCGTTTTATTTGTGAGGTGTGGATAAATGATATCGGATTAGGTTTGAATCTTTATATTTATGGGCCGTCCGTCCGACCTCAACCATTTACATATGCATCAAAAATCTATACTCGAGCGTTTCACTTTGATCTTGACAGGATAGGCAAGGAATCACTCTTGATTTTTTTGGGTGTGTAACTACTTGAGTATTATTAAGGAAGGACAAAAAAAGAAAAAAAAGTATTCACTACTTTTAAGTTTTTAATGAATGCCACACAAAACAACATTTGACTGTAAAATATGTATGCCCTCTAGGCTCTAACATATGGACTATATTGAGTTATAGACTAAGGAGAAGAGTCACTTATATAACTTAACTTTATATGAAAGTGGATGTGTAATTTTAGTTATGATGGTCGTGATCGTTTTGAGTCATTTATATAACTTCGATATTTATATGGAAAGTGAATGTGTTATTTTAGTTATTGATAAAATATATTTACTAATTAACTATAACGTTTTTTTTTTCAGAATTATATTTTTCAATCAAATTTCCACATATGCTTTTAGGTATCATGTCGTAAGTTGAAATCGTACCTAAAGAAAAGAATAATGCATGAAAGACTAAAAAAATATCTTAATTAGGAAAAAAAATAACATATCTATACCTTAATTGCATTTTCAAGAAAGTAAAGTCTTAACTTTATGATAAAAGTACTATTCTTTCTTCGTCAAAATATAACAAAGAGATATACGAATTGTTTAAAATTGATAGATGAACAACAAATGTTAATAATCTTTTTAAGAAAATCAAGATTCTTTTAAAATCCTACACTTTGTGTCCGATATTCATATAGGGGCGCAGCCAAATTTGGATTCACATCATGAAGTCCACATTTAGAGTACACTTTTGTAACAATTACGACTTCATATTCATAATTCGAACTCAAAATCTCTCGTGAAGGATGGCATAGACGCATATTACTTACCCCAATCTTTATTGGTAAATTAAGAAACTTTTTTTTAAAGCAATTCCGCTAGGCAAGGTGTGTCTAGGGCTAGTTTTATTAATAAAGAGAAAATGATCTCAAAGAGAAGAGTACAAGCATGGGGGGCTAGGCTTTACCTTACTAATCTTAATGAGGTAAATTAAGAAACTTAGTGCGGTTGTTTTTGTATAATATCAATAGAATAAAATTCCCGGTTGAAAGTTCTTATTTTCACTTTTTTCACAACTTAAATTTCATACTTGGGCTCGGCGAATGAAGAGAATTTTAGAAAAAAAGAGCTTCTATTTGATGAATCTCACGTAACGTGAATCTAATTGAATCAGATCAATAAATTGTGATTACGAGATAATTACCAAAAAAGCAATGCACATCTCAAACACAATCAATAAGTTTAGTAAAGGAGAAACGAAAAAAAAAAGTCAATTAAGTAGCGGCAAACGTCAAAAGACTCATTGAGAAAGGGACTTGTTGACCTACCACATACTACAATTTTTTTATATTTTTTTGGATGATTTAATAATTAAAATTTCTTTATATTATCGGTATATATGTATATAAACTTTTCATAATTGATTAGGAAAGTAATTAGTAGTCTTATTTAGCTATCAAAGTTTGTTAGACTAAATTGAAATGTCTAGTATTACTATCAATTGTTTGTAGTTATAATAAAGTTTTTTACAACAATGGAACATAAATTTTTTGTCCACGTAATATTATAGAATAGACATGTCAAAATTTCAAAAGTTACAAGATAGTAGTAAAAGATGTATAAAACATCAAATATTTCGAAACGTCAAGATTTTTATCTTTGAGAAATACTGACGAAGACAAGATTTTCACGAAAAAAATTTAACGTGTACTATATAAACATAAAAAAACTTATTAATTTTATTAAATATACAATGTAATTTTTTATCGATCTCTCTCGACTTGTCCTCTAATGCTAGACCCTCTTAATCAAGAACGAGGTTATTTATTACTCTCAACGACAAAAAAACAAAAGTAGAAAGAAAACAAAGTCAAAACTATAAATTGTGTTGTTGAATTTTGATTGACTTTGTTAAAATTAACTTGCACCACCAAAAATAATAAAGACAACTTTCTCACTTCACTTTGTTTGGTTTGACAAATAACTGAAATGTGTTGTAATGGAGTGGTAATTATAAGTACTTATTCATCCTTAATTGGAAGTCTGAGTTTGAGTCTCTTTGGATACATAATCATCTTTTTTAGGGAACATTATTCCTCAATATAAGGACTTTTCAACTCGAATTTGAATTTAGTCATACTCTAATGCAGGTATCAAATATCGAGTGGAAAACCAAAAAAAAAATGTATAGTACCATTATCCTACATATCTTTTATGTGACACTTTTTTTTCAATTCGTCTAAAAAAAATGCTATATTTACATAATTGGAAACAATTTCTTTTTTTTTTCTATCCTTGATAAAATGGTTTACAATCATACAAATAGTCAAGAAATATTCTAGACCACAAGTTTTAAATGTCTCCATTTTTTTTCTTAAACTTCGTATCAGGTCAAATAACGTGATCACACAAATTGAAACATGAAAGAGTATTTGAAAAAAAAAAAAGCAGTTGAACAAACATATAAAGTTTCCCTCTTATCTCATACATAATTCTTGATCCCCCCTGACATTTACCTACCCTCCCACACCCCTTGAATGAACCCTTTCAACTCCCAACAATTTCACATTACCCACTCCACCTACAACTACTTCAATTCCATTTAAACAAACACAAACACACACACACACACACTCCCCTTCTTCCTAATCCTCTTACAAAACACCCCTACAAATATCCTCAAAAATTACAACATTTTCAACAACATTTCCATATAATGTCTAGTGTTCATTCATCGACGGTTTTAGCGGAGACTATTTCATGGTATTGTGCGTTGTTCTTGGCAATTATGTTGGTGTTGAGTTGTTGTGAATCAAGTGAGAGTGATCATAATGAATTCATAGTACAAATGCAAGGGAATTATAAGAAGATGGCATGTGATGAAATATATGTAGTAAAAGAAGGAGAAACATTACATACAATAAGTGAAAAATGTAATGATCCTTTTATTGTTGAAGAGAATCCACATATTCATGATCCTGATGATGTTTTCCCTGGTTTAGTTATCAAGATTACTCCTTACAAGAATCTCTAGAAAAAAGGGGCAGTTACATATTTGATCGCTCGATCAAAATTAAAATATCTACACATCTGCTAGTCGATATACGTAATATATACATTGTATTATGTATATATTGGTTTGGTTATCTTGAAGTTCACTTCATATGTGCATGAGCTCTCTTTGTAATTTAATTTCCTTCTTTTTTTTGTTGATTTTACAAGAAATTTTACTAGGCTCAATGGCATGAACATTATGGACAAGCCTCTATTTTTTCTTCTTCTTTTTTTGGGCCCTTTTCCTAGAGTTTTGTTTTTATCTGTTATTATTGGTGCGTGTGTTCTCAGTTTATATGACAACATTTTCTTTTTAGTTTGTCCCAAAAAAAATGATAGCTTGCTAAATTATGAAATGATTTAATTTAACCTTCTCCTTTTTCTTAATGATAAGTTTTTATAGCCAAACAAATATCATGGAATATTAAAAAACACAAGTTTCAAATTTTTATATAAATAACCGTACAAATATTATAACATATTTATTATATCCATGTATTTTAAAGCTCTTCATTTTTTTTCTTCTTAAATTTTATGTCTCTTTCAATATTTGTCACATCAATTGAAATGGAGAAAATATCTTGTGGTACTATTTGTTTCTCTGTAAGCATCTCTTTTTTTTTTTCCATTTATTGTAACTTCCTTTTTGGTGGGGTGTATGTTTAAATTTTTTACGTAAATGTATCTTTCCATCATCTAATTTACTAATATGACTGGAGTATATATATAAAATAGGTATGTATATTTCTTATATACAATATATTGTATATGTGTATTTACCATAAAGTATACACTATTAATATATCATATACATATTTTGTAAGCAAGATGGCCCGAAGGCGTTGGACCGTAATTTTCCAAATCCTGTTTGTGGAAAATGTTTTGGGCCTATAGCCTGCTAACTACAACTTTAGGCCCAATACCATTATTTAGTTTATAGCCCACAAGTGCATGGGCAGAAGTACAAAAATGACCACTTTCATGCCTAATAATAATAATATACAGATTAATGTACTCGATCCTTTTTCATATTCCATATTTATCTTCAGACATATCAAATTATATAATGTGAATC